GCTACTAATTTGCTAAACCCGAAGAGACGAAGCTTTGGTGAGTCCCGGGCGTAGGATGAAACCACTATCCACGTATAGCAGGCCACTTCTAACCGCTGCACTATGCGCGTCCTGTCCGATGCTGAAAATAACAAATTCCAGTCCGCAAGGTGGTAAAGTTATTCTTTTCCAGCCAAAAAGCTGTATCTTTCACTGAATTCGGGTTACGAAAACCTTCTTGAATTATCACTTCATTTAGTTACAGTTTCCATTAGGTTCCTCAAGGACGATTACCATTCGTGGGAATGCTTTGTTTCTTCTCAAGATTGCAGTTTTTTGAGGACCAGCATTAGTTTCGTCATTCATTTTAACCGAAAATGGTATCTATACCATCGTAACGTTTGGATGCCCCTGTGGTTGTTTTGGGAGAAGTTCCTCCGCTTTACAAACTGATGGAAGAAAAATTAATCATTGACTAATATTTGTCCTTCGCACTTCATCATGATACAAATGATAACTGCAGTTTGTGAACACATAGTTGAAAAAATTCTAATCTTTCCTCTTTCTAGCTTTGTTTCTTCAATTTCTATGCATTTTCTCCAATTATCACTCAGCTTGTTGGGTTCAGGCACCTCCTTAATCTGGTTTGCTGCGGTGATTTCGTTACTCATCGACTTGACACTTATCGCTCTTCTACTGTTTGAACTGGATCGGGTTCAAATCCCTACAAAAGGAGTCTCACATGCTTCGGTGGTGCGTAACCCTCGTAGATCTTTTTCTTAACTCATTTAACTCTCCTACAGCAATCGGCTAGTCATGGCAAATTTTACTATCTGAGGTCTATGCCTCTAGCATAGCTGGTGACTTTCTAGATGAAATTCCCAACAGATAAATTCAGAACAAACAATGCTTTATCTGCTGTTATAGGAGAGCGTGATGTCGTTGACTCTGAGTATTTTCTACTTTATTTCTATATGGCTGTGCATCAACGCAGAAGAGTTCACAAGCAGTAACTGGTTCTACACGGCGGCGGTGGGCACTTGGATTTTCTTCGGAATCCAGTATAATTTCCCTTAGAATTCAGTTTTCCTAAATGTGTTCTCTCTCAAATGTTGCTCGTACTTAACAAACAAACTTGTTCTCAATATAACGAAATAGTCGATAGCTCGTCTTTTGCAAAGACCTTCGAATAGTGATTTCGACCGAGACTTCTGCTTTAATAAATAGAACATGAGAAACCCTCCAACAAATTATTATCAAGTCGTTTTGCGAGTGCTTTGCATCTTTAGAATAACTCATTGAATATCAGTTAGATTTGAACTGAAAGAGACAAAAGGCCTTAGAAGCTGAGGAGTCCAATGTTTCCATTCGGAAGCCCAGCTAAGATTAAACCAGTACCAGGAATCACCATCGACCTGATATAAAACTAGTCTCGAGATGGGAAGTCTCCCTCTGGCCCAACAAGGCGGCGACTGCGTTGGGTTGGGTGCCGACGACCTGGAGAAGGCTTAGACTAGACTGACTTCCAAATTCCCAGGCAGCCACAATGGCAAAACCAGCAAATCTTCTTAAAATGAAAATTATACTTGGATCAGCACAGCCAGTGAAGACGGGCCATCCGAGTATCCACGTAAGATATATAACCGAGCAGAAGTGGACTTACTTATTAATCAGCATAAGGTCGTTATTAATATTCGATTCCGTGGCTAGCATTTGATTGGTTTATTTAAAAGGTGCGTATGTAACGTAATTTACACTAAAGCGCAAACAGTGCTAAATTTTATGCATGTCCACTTAATCTTTTACAATGTTAAAAAAGTGACACTTTCAGTTTGCCAGTTTCGCGAATTTCGCCCTTTACGCTGCAGACTTTGCGATTTATCTCAGAGTTTGGATGGTGGAACAAAGATCAACAAGTAAGTGTAATATTGTTTATTAGGTCAATAAAAAACATTGGCATCATACTCTTACAGTTTATTCGTAATCCAACATTTATACGAATCTTAGTAGTTCTTTAAGTTAATTCGTTTGGCCGTGTACATCGTTCACGAAGTTCCTGGGATTGACGTGTGGACTGGTCTGCAATGTTGAACGGCCCAGTAGATTCTCCAAGTAATTCGGCATATTCATTCCAGCACGTTCCCACGGCTTCACCAAACAGAACGTCACTATCCCCGGTGGACAGAGGGGGGTTCTTCTTAGGCAAGTCTCGTACTGCATTTCTCCGCTATAAGGGAGAATCATAGTCGACCCGATGTTTCTTAATAAATGCACATTCTAAATGGTCGATAGTAGGCAGTGTATGTCGCAATTACATAACCAATAGTTGCTTCTAGAACAAGGGGAGATTTCTTGTTGTAAGTTCACAGCCCGGGGGCGAGTAAATCACCGATGTGAAACGGAATTGGCGCACGATCATTAACAGAAGGGAGGAACTGGAGTTGATCTTCGTGACCCTGTTCCTAGACGAAGTCTTGAAACTGTACCATGTTACCAGCTGTTTAACTTCTTATTGCGCTTCAAAGTTTTGGGGCGAGCTCGATATTCACAATGGTGTTTTTCTGTAAATAATTTCGATACTCGGTGCAAGTACTGTCACGAAGAACTGTTTGTGTGTAATCTTTCTATTGTGTGTTCCATATTTTGAAAATACGGTCATTTCTCTGTCCTCGTTAAGTAGGGCTGCTTTTAAAACTTGGTCTTTTCGAAAGCGGTCATAAAATGCCTTGAGGCTTTTCTTTTTTATTTCAAGGATTTCCGCAAACTTCTACCATGAAAGATTTTTTGACATGATGATCGGCACTACGCACTGCTACCATCTCTAGATACCACTTTTCTGGAGCATCGAAGTGCTGAGAGGCCTTTGTATCAATGCGTTCCGATTATACCGTAATAGGTGGCAGTATGGCCCGTATTCAGTAAAATAATTCTTAGGTTTCAGTTTTCTGCTACGGGCTCTCTACCTATCGTTTGCCTCATCTTAATGCTTGACAATCGTGAGAACCAGCAAAAAGTTGGCGAGCGGGGAATTATGACCACGTAGGAACGAATAAGGGATGAAACGAGGTCTGTGTATGATAGAGTGAAACACTTTCTCGAAAGGCCACTGTGGCTTTATTCGTTTGGCAAAATTGTCTTCTTGTTTTTGGTTCACTGTACGATAACAGGATAACCATTGAATTCGGCATTCTTTAAAAGATGCCGGTAAATCGCCATCTCGAATACACACTGCCCGTAGATTAAAGTAAGAGAAAGATTTCCATCAACTCTCTAATGCGTCTAGGTGATGTGCGTGTAGCATAGTGGATAGAAGGGCCGCACAGTCCACACGTGGTCCATGGTCCGATCTCACACCTCTGACTCACCAAACTCTCCATCTCACTGGGAGCGGCAAGCTGGTACCGGAGTTTCTTGGCAGGATGGCAGCACTGACTTGATATATACGCAGACCAATGCAAATCATTTTAAAGACGAGATATGCATTCGGTCACCTCTGAGATGCATAGGTCGAATACATGGCATAGCTCTCCGAGATCGATCACTGCCGAACCCTTTATTCTTTTACTCTTTATGTTGCATCTATACTAACCGAATGCTTGGTTGCTTTTCATCGACTGAATTAACTTGTGAGACAGAGGACATAGGCGGAATATATTAAGATTTCTCTATTATTGACTAATCCAAGCGACCTCTTGTGGTGCGACGTACATAAAAGTTTAAGATCTATGTAGTGTTCTTGCAAATTTTAACTAATTTTGAACAAATATAGATAAACTTCTATTTGTGAACCCAATTTCCTCTTTAAACGAAACGTTCGTGGATACACTCCGTTCCTTATATCAAAATCCAAAGACCTTCCAAAAATGTGAGGCAAAAGATTTGAGCAGAACAACAGAAGTTCACTTACGTTTCCATTTCAGTAACTGACTATGCAACCTACGACTTTCCGTCCTATGGCTCGCCATAGCTCCTTCATAGGACCACCTTGGAGGTGTTATAAGTTTATCATATTCTCGAAATAAAACCATAATTCCCTATTAATTTGAAAGAACAATAAAATTAACAGGCACATTTAACATTCAACATTAACAATCGATTAGAACAGAGATCTGAGACAGTGGATTACACATTGCAACTGAATAATATAACATTGAGATAGCTTATATTTTCAAGGTTAAAGAAATTTGGAAAATAATCTAAGAACGGACCACAGATATCCAAATAACGTTGGCATTAACAAACAAGTAATTTTGCTTTTACGACATTTCCTTGGTGTAGTTAAAATTATTTTGCTTTTAAATATGTATATATATATATATTTCACGATTCTAGGACAGCAGCACATAACTGGTACTGCTCCTCAGAGAAAGAAAACGGCACTGGAGAAGGCGAAGGCGCCGTACATTGGCCATAGCAAACCGAAAAAATACGTGCTAACAACCTCAAGTCAAAAGTTCGTAAAAACAAAACCAACAAGGACCACTTGAAGATCAAGATTACAAAGTTTGTGGCAGAACATCAACACTCAGCTTCCGTTCTATCATTTCCTTGTAGAACAAAAAAATCTGTTGTGCTCCCAAACGGGCTAGATTCAATGCAGAAGCGAAAGCATCCATCTTGAACTGACCAGTAGAATCGGATGCGATCATTTCAGCATCACCCTAGGATAGCTCTCTGCATAATGGAACGCCAACGAATTAACTCCGTGTAAGGCATAGACATACAAAGAAGACAGAACTGGCTTTAGATTCCAACACAACTGTGCGTGGTCTCCAATCATTAAAAACTGTTGATTCACTTTACTTCGAGAAACTATCAACGACAAGGATCATCTGTTCATAGAAAAAGCTAAATCAGTTTGCAATCGCTATACACGCTATCCATAAAAGATACGTTATCCTCTTTTGGAAAAGTGAGCCGAGTGCTATTTGTAAGTACGGACTTCTGTAGACTACAATACAGATATTGAACGACATCCCTCAGGGCAAATCTTCTTCAAAATTAAATTTGCCTTCAAAGTATTAAAGCAAAACATCACTTACATCGGCAGTTCTGATGAATGCGAACAACCAATTGGTGTCAGCTTTGGCTTGCGTTTTTGCATCAGCATCCAGAACCATTCTTCCCTCCACTTGACAAACTTCTACGCCACAAAACGGTGCTCTAAAGAAATTCTGATGATGCAGAAAACTAAATTAGAACGGGAGCTGATAACACTCATGGTAGCTTTAAAGAACCCGTTTAATGATTCACCCTACCTTATTGAAATCCCATTGTCCAAAATGGATAACCCAACAGCGGTGAGCGCCACACCTCCTATGCTCCCATCGTCTTGAAGAAGATGAGCAGTTACCTTAATTTCGAAAATCCACCCATATTGCCGAGTTTTACCCAACTATCAAACGAAATCATAATACTGAATTACTAATTGTCACACCGTTAGTCCCGTTCTTGGGAACATTTTCAGGTCAAGAACAGATTCCAGAGTCGACCGAATAATATTGTTGAGCTAAAAGAAGGCTTATATATGCAAGTGATAAGCAAAAATCTCAACAAGTTATACATAGTGATACGAAAGGATTGGGATCCCACAGAAACCAACCTTATGATGTTGACAATCTCCTGAAAGTTGACGAAAACTTACGGCAAGATACATTTGTTCATCTTCCCGACGTGCAACGTGGACATCTCCTAGAAAATCTCAGTAGTTGAGAAGTAGTAACAAAGGAAGCAAAAGCAAAACAAACAGAAAATAAAAATAAAGCTAAGCGCTTTTAATGAACAGGCCTGGTCCAGCACAACTGGCCCAGATTAACGTTCGCCCCTGCGAATAAGAACACGACCCGTCCATCCGGCGTAAATATCCCAGTTCACATCGCATCATACGTAAGCGACCCGAGGAAGACATATAGGAGAGCTAAGTTGGAATAAATTACAATGATAACTTCGAGCCATTATAACTCACTGCTAAAGCGTAATATACCGATAAGTAGGATACAGCATCCAGGATACGCTGGCAGAACAACTACTAATAAAATGATTTATGAAAGCTTTAATAGGAACAACAATTTTCAACAACGATCAACAATCACTGGATTTGTGAGGTGATAAAAACCTTTCAAGATGCAAGAAAGATGAACGGTATCCAAAGTAGAAGACGTTATCACGAGCGCAAGAAATTTATCAATTTTTAGACGTTGGTTTATAACCTATACTCATACTGCCCATTCTGTGGTGCCCCCCACGAGGTCGACGGCGGAAATTCTTTTTGTTCTCCAGACGATGCTTCTGATTAAATGGATCAAATGAGTCGTCTTGAACTGGTGGTTGGCCTGAAACATGAGCAGTGTCCAAGTTATGGTCAAGAAGTTCAAATACGGGGAATATGGCACGTGGAATTTTGAGTTCAAAGACCGACTACTTCATAAAAAAAATCCTGAAGTTCCTTAATTGAGTGTAACTCACTGAATATTTTTGAGTCGAACTGTGAATAATCAAACGGCTCAAGTTTCGAATCACGTCCTTCAAATTCATCACTCTTTCTGATTCGTTTTATAGAGTATGAAGGTCCTTCTCCAGCTGATACCTCTATAGGGATGTCGATATTCTGACGATTCTGTAGATAAAAATGTATACTATTCTAACACTCCTTTATCTAGTCAGTAAATTTGTGAATTCTAGACAGATTTAAATTTCAACGTATTAAATCACAATAATTAAGTTTGTACAATATTTAGGGATTGTGTAGCACAGCAGTTAAAGGTGCCCTGCAATATACACTAGATCGGTCGCTGGTTCGATACGGTGCCCCGAGCTCAGCAAACTTTTCATCCCTCCGAGATCGGTAAATTGGTACCAGACTTGTCCGAAAGGATAGTAACACTGAGTTGATACATCGATAGGACGCCGCAAGTCATCGTACATACTGGAAAAGCATTCAAACACCGTTTGACGAAGGCGAATACATCGTTCACCCAACGACGACTGACCAACTCCGAACGCTTCTTCCTGCTATACGTTATCCAACCGAAGCACTATTAGGCTTGTAAAGCCTTTGACTATTCTATTCATTAAATAATTTGTAATTCTACTCTTGCAGGTGACATACGTGATACTATTGCAGCTTTTAGTCAAATTCAATTTGCAACATCGTCTTGGAACAAATGTTTGACTAATCGCAAGAATTGTTGTCGTGCAAAAAGAAGCCTAGTCTCAAGGTAGCAGCTTTTGCTTTCATCCATAAATACCATCGAATGTCCGTGCCGGCGACCCTGTGAACGTACTAGTACGACAATCTAAACATTCAAGAGAATACCACGTTTGACCATTACTGAGTAGCTGTTGATAACCTTACGCGGTTCATCTCTTTTATGGAAGTTCCTTTTAAGAAGAGATGTCACAATAGTTGGACGAAGAAATCCAGAAACTACGGCTCCTACAAGGATCGCTCAAGTCCTTGTAAACAGATCAGAGTCTCTTCAATTTTTTGGCACTGTCCCATGTTTTTTGACGCAAGAGCAAAAAAAACCGAAACGGAAATCGTGTCTTCAAAATTACACATGAAAAGAATACAAACGCACCATTCTCCTTGCTTGTTTCAATTTCTTTTTTGTAAGTATCTGCGAGTTAGCAAACCGCGGCACGGCACTAGTTTCAACTCCATCATTAAGAACAAAGACACCCTCGTTTACATTCTAAAATTGACTCTATCAAATATACAAAACCACACTCGTACACTGTTACGTCTTAATGCCTGTTTATTATCAGAAAAACTTCACAAGCCTGCTATATTCAACAGAATTTATTGCATCCACTGTTCTATATTTGCTACTGTTTAGCTCGTTTCTTACAAGACAGGCTATGTAGTTATAACATAATTTACAGGACCAAAATGATGCTGAGATATTCACAAAACTCTGGACTGCTGGTGCCTGCGATGGGTATCGAACACGCTATTACCCTCTCCGAGGGTTAACGCGTTTACCATCACACCATGCTGGTCCTTCGCTTCGCCTTTCTCTCAGCTCTTCACAATGTTATCCTCTTAAAGTTTTATTTCATCGTCAGGGTAAAAAAAAAAAGGAGGAAACCGTACCAACTTAACAGCAGGAATCTGCCTCTCTGCTGGCGCGTCATGATGTGTGTACAACTTTTTAGGCATCACCGGCGATTCGAGTTGATCTCCACATCTGGACTTCTCTTTAACCTTCAGATTGTGTAAGTATAAAAATGCTTCATACAGTAAATATTGTAATGAACCACTTAAAACGACCTCACTTCTTTCTTTCGAGCTATATTTGCGGCTATTGTGTAGCTCTCATACGGTGTTCCAATGTTCTTTAGCCGCTCAAGAATTCTATTTATTGCATTCTTATTCATCGTTGAACTCTGAACGTAGAACACAGTGACATTAAATATATCAAAAAGCTTCAGGGAAGAAAACCTGGTCAAAAGATCGTCTGTCGATATACTTTCCTTATAGGCCGAAGATTGTTTATGCCAAAAAAATCATAGAGCTCTCGGCGTTGATCAATCCCTTAGGGATGAGCTATGCATTCGACTTCACTAAGCATCGTTGGAGGTTAGTGAATGAATGCACATCTGGCCTTTACAATGGCCCGCGGTGGCCTACCGATGTATCGAGCCAGTGCTGCTATCTTCCCAGACAAATCTGGTACCAATTTGCCGACCCCAGAGGGATGGAAAGCTTGGCGGGCCATGGGCGTGGGGAACGATTCCACTTGTGTGTCGCTGGGCGCCTCCGACCACTGCGCCACACGCGTCCTATTGTTTATGTCAACGATTAGAAAATGAGAAACCTTGTCAACAACTGTGTAAGCACCACAATCTCCGGTGAGATTGTTTCCGATTACGTTGGCAGAATCCAGCACCGACAATAAAGTGTTTGTCGGATTACGTTCAATAACAGAAGTATCGTCCACTTTTGACGAACACATCTGATTTCCACTTTCTTCGTCAAACCCTGTTTGCGAAAAGTCCAACGGACATCTGAATTAAAAGTCGACCATTGGAGTTTATGAAATTAATTGTAAAATGGAGTTAGTAAGCATACATAATAAAAATATTTTCCTTCGTATATTTGCCAAGCATTCTCCTTCGACGGAGCAGCTCCTCGGTCACTTCATCCATTACTTCATTTTTGTATTCAATCAGAGGAAGATCACGACATTTTAATATCAATCTAAAAACTTGTGTAATCCACATTATCTATGTGTTTCTTTTCTTGTATAATAAACCTAATAGAGAATAATGGGACATATAGCACAGTGGTAGTGATGTAAGTCACAACGAGCATGATGATAGTTCGATTTCGCTCCGCGCCAACCAAGCCTCTCATCCCCCCCGGGGGGGAGGGGGAGGGGGGGGCGCTGGGGGAATTGGTACCGAACTTGTCTAGGAAAAAACCACTCTGAAATCAAATTAGGAACGCGCCAGCTTGGTTATCTCAGTGCTCCAGAGAGAATCGACTTGACTAGCATTCTACAACTTTCAAGATAAAATGAAAATCCTCAATCAGCAACCGAAGCAACACGTAAAGTTGGAAGGAAGATCTTCGTGGATAACGGGTGCGAGGAAACGAATTGAATTTGAGAAGTGCTGAGATCTGCACAGTAAAAGTGAAGACGGATCATGTAAAAGTAAAAAAACGATAGAGAATAAAGTGATGAAAGAATACTTGAAAATCTTACTTGTGCAATTCATGAACGCACTCTCTAACCAGTGGTGGGACTGGATTACAGCAATGTAAAATTCCTTGAAGTTCTCGAGGCAACGACTAAAACAGGTGACATGTTAGCGAATTTTCAAAGGATGAAAGAAACGGCATTAATTTTAATGACATGACTTTAGATCTTACCTCAGCAATTCTAATTAACATGTGGTTCGGAAGTATATATTGTACGCTCTCGTCTTCTTCTCGAGCCATACGATCACGCCAATGCCATAAAACTTGCATTGCAGTTTCTTGACGGTTGTTAACGAAACGACGTTCTAAACCATGAAATCCATCCGTATCGAAACTCGGTTTTTGATACACCTAAACAACGCAGTACTGAAATAGCTAATAAGCACAATCAAAGACAAATAAATGATGCAAAGAATAGCCATTAAAACTATACCCTTGAACATATGGAAGCGCTTCCAGAGTAAACTAGGCGCAAAAGTGTTCGATTACTATCTCCATTTCCTAGTAAGTCCTCTCGAAGACGGTCGCAGCAATATAAAAGATAGTGAGTGTCGCTACGAGCATAGGTAATCATATCACTGTCCAAAGGTCTATAACATGTCCGGTTTGTAATCAATCACAGGAACTGCATGCGTTAAAACAAGATACACTTGCCTCACTCTCCAATCCGACAGCTGATATTTCTTATTAAGGGAAATCCCGCAGTAGTGATGAACAAGGTACCGTAAATTAAACTTCTGCATTTTTAGCTGTCGCATGGCCCTGCCGGTATCGAACATGTTCACAACATAAATTCCGAAATCTCTTTGGAGCCATTCAATGTCGTGCTCAGCGCCATGGAACACCTAACACATAAAAATGAATCTTTTAAAAAGATTGCATTGGCGTAAAATAAAAAAGGATATAGGTCTCGACGTTGGTCAATCCCTTAAGGATGCGCCATGCATTCGACTCCATTCGTAGCACCGTTGGAAGTAATTGAATGCATATATGACCTTTACAATGACGTGCGGTGGCCTACCGATGAATCGAGCCAGTTCTAGTATCCTCCCAGACATGGTCTGATACTATTTTAACAGTTCCCAAGATCGACTTTCTATTAACCTCGGTATTGGATTATAAATTATTATTAATTATTAAATAAATTATATAAACCGTTCTCGGCCCCGGTCGCTGCTCTACTGCAAGTATATAGATGATTGTTTTGTGATCTTCTCTACGCAGGAGGAAATGGACAAATGCTTTGAATTACTGAAGGAGCACTCCGAGTACACTAAGTTCACGCGGGAGAAACCGAGAAAAAACTGGCTTCCGTTTCTAAACGTTCAAATAAACCTATAAAGTAGCAGTTATATGACAAAGCGGTACCGAAAACCAAGTAACAAGAACATCCCCGTTCATTTCCTTTCTTCCCAACCTTCACACACAAAGGGGGCGCTTGTGATAAACATGTTTCGAACAGCCACCTCTGTGTGCACAAGTAAGGAACTAAAGAATCGCGCAACCTGCCTCAGGATATAGTCAATGGGTACGAAATAGTAACCTCACGAGAAAAGTTTAGAAGGAGAGCGACGCTCAAAACGAAGGGTTTGGCTGAAACAAAACCCCGTTCATCTTGCCCTTTATTAGCGATGAAATAAGTGTAGCGATAAAGCGATGCTTGAGAAGGGCAGATCTAGAGGAATCGGTAGCGATAGTTGAAATACCACCGGCTACTCTACATCGTCAATTAGTTCGTAACCGCCTATATGACAATGTGAAACACAAAATTGCGTAATTTTCCCTTATGGCAGGAACTGTGATTGCTTGAGTTCAGCTACGATATACCTGATTTCTTGTAGTACTTGCGGAGACGAATATATTGGCGAAAGAGGGAGGCCTTTATGTAAACGCATAAAAAACACCTATATGGCAAACGAAAAGCAAGACAAAGTACCTCACTAGGCACGCATAGGATACAAAAACAGCGGAGAAGACTTTGATGTAAAAGTCGCTATCCTCGCACGGGAGACTAAAACACCAACGCGCAAATTTCGCGAGGCTTTTTGGATAAATTCCAAAAATCCGAGAGTGAATAGCAGGGAAGAATGCCCTGAGATAACGCGTGATCTAGTCCCGTATCAACTGATTTTTGAGGTGGGGTGGTGCAGTAGTCAACCATATGCGACTCTAAGCGGCTGTTCTTCCTTGGTACAAAACAGATAAGAACGGTGGGTTTTTCGAGAAGCCGGTGATCGTGTAGTTATCGTTCTAATTTCCATCTTTCTGTTTGCGTTGTTGAAGCGTTTGACCTGGTAAGTTACATTATTAGTGTACCCTTCCAGGCTCTGAAGGTGATACTGCCGGAACTTCAGCTACCGTTGTGTTGTATGTGTTAAATTTGTAAGGAAGTAAACGTGTGCTGAATAACAACCTCGCGATTGCTGTGAAAAAGAGAACGACAGGTCTGGTACTAATTTGCCGACTCCTGAGGGACGGAATTCTGGGTGGGTCAGAGGCGTGGGAATCGATCCCAGGTGCATGGCAGGGCGCCTCCGACCGCTTCGCCACACGCACTCGTTGCATTGACGTAATAGAGAAAAACTGAGTTGTTACCTTTAAAATTTTGGGATCTGTGAATGGTTCGTTTAGTATATGCATCTCATTCCATATCGGGAAAGGATCGATTATATAATCTTCAGTCCTTGTCGATATTTGAATAAGGCAAGTCAATCCCAGATAACTTCGGAAATCGTGATGCTGTAACCGTATTAAGACAATTCCCTCGTATTTCAGAAAGTGTAGGATTAAACTGAAAAAAAATCACTTCCAAATCTACAGCAAACTCTACGCAGGAATTTAACACATCTCTCAATCTCCTCAAATCTTCAACAGTTTCCACCATAGTGAGCGGAGTTTTACTGATATCCAAGAAATCCTGCAAACAAATCCTTCATATGATATCCACTGTCTTAAGGAATTAAAACTTTACGATTAACACTTACTGTTGGAACCTTAGATTCAAACTGAACATCTGGAACCACAAAGTTTTGGATTTCATATAGATAAGGATGCGAGGCAGTTGTATCACTCACCGACACTTCACTGAAAATGCTAAACCTCTAATATAATGATATAATATATAATACTGATATAATCAGATATATAAGGTATATACAAGGTATAATAAGATATACAAGGTATGTACAAGATCTGATATAATAAATAAAGAATAAGTACCGTTTACTTTCATCACTCCCCATGTCCTCATCAATTATTACCATCCCGGAGGTTTTCTTCCTTGGAAGAGCATGATGCTTATTCAAAAGTTTCGGGATAAAGATGTTATAAGAGTTATCAATGGATGATTCAAAACCGTACTTCTTCTGTGGTTTTTCACATAAATCCTAAAATCTAAGAGATTAGATTAAATATGAGTAAAACTGAAACTAAATTCCAAAACAAACTCACTTCAACTTTTGCATATTTCGCCTCTTGTTGAGTAAGCCGCAGTCGCTCCGCAAGAACTGACCCTGGATCAGAAGTGTGTACTTGCTCTTGGAACATCGATTCTGCCTCTGCCTCTACAATTAAAACAATAAAAACTCATGGAAAATGCAGATTAAGTGGTGAAGTAATACGTACTTCTTTTCTTAACTGATTCCGCGCCGATAACTGTTTTAGGGATTTCCACATCTTCACGGCCACCTCGATCCAACTCGTCCATAACAATTCCCTGCAAAGCAACTTTAAGACCACTGTAGGTAACAAATAGGTGTTTGCGAAAAGGACGAACCGCTCTTTCTACTACATGATCATCGACCATCACAATCCTTTCCAAATATTCATCCACATCCGAATTCATTTTCGGCATTCTTGTAGGGCAACCGGCGTTTCGCATTAAGCTGGTCAACCTAAACTATAGATGAGATTATACCTTCATTACTCGCTAAAGTAAGTCACCTACATCAAACGTATCCTCGTTTCTTGTTGCTCCATGAAAGCGGTGAATGTGCTGAATGAGTTACATAACTCGAAATCATCACCACGTCTGGGTAGATCGTTCGCTACTTTAACCAAAACAGCTGCTCGTTGCATTACGTCCTGTTATAAAACGAAGTCAGAAACAGTACTGTACCATCGAAACACTGACCGACTTTTGTACCAGATATCACCACACTCCAGTCGCATCTATAGTGAAAACAGCACTTGCCATATCTCGACGAAACACGTTTTTGACAAGCATGAAAACCATTTAGAAATGTGGCTAGAGAAAATGACACCTAATCAAGCACATCCGTACTAGAAGGAATGTCGAGGTCCTCCAAAAATCCAGCCAATTTCGAGTTCGCCTGCATCTTCATTAGGATTTCTGGTCGTTTTCAAGCATGTCATTGAATATAAATCGAGTTGATCCTTTCTCAAACCTCGGGATACATGCTAGCACTTTCACACAGATCTTCGCAACAGATAGACCCGATTTCTTGTGGATCGGAGAGATCCAGTGAGTACAGACGACCCTCACACCAATTATCCGACTCTGGAAGGATAGTAGACTTGGTGAGCTCGGTGTAGGGCCAAACCAGCGCCTTCCTCGTACTGTACGCCATCACAACTGCTGCGCTACATACCTCTATCATTTGATAAAATTCGATAAACATATATAAGGTAACCACAAGGATGCGGAGGTATGAGCAAAACTTAGAACTTCAGTGGAAATTCGAACACGCGATTATTCTTTTCGAAGACTCACGTACTAAGCACCATACCAACCGATGCCCTTGTTTTACCTTTTTCTCAGTCAGTTTTTTACTCTATCGAAGCTATCAGCAATCAACCCCCAATGGAAATGATCAGCAGAGAACAAATCGGCACTAAACCCAATTAAGTTGAAGGTGCAGTCGAAATCACAGTGTTTCACTTTTCAAATGCTTTCTATCTCCTTTTCATAGTAGCGCTTTATGACAAATAGTCTTCAGTTTAACTGGGTTCGTTGCCAGCTTTTCCTCGAAAATTCCCATAGGCATATGAATGCTAATAGCACCGCTAAAATAAAGAAACTGCCTCAGAGAAATGCAAATCACTAGCTCCAGATGTTGCAATGGACAACATTTAAGCCCCGGAAACAGTAATCGCGAGTTCGAAGCCCAGCTGAGGTTCCGAGTTTTGCCCACATCTCAGCAACGTTGTGGCTGTACTTCACATAAATACCTTTGCCATGAAAAAACGGGCAATAAATAAACGCAGTGACATATAAGTCAATCAACGTTTACAATAAAACAAATCTGCAGCGAATTCGGTTAGAAAATCTACCTTGACAACACATTTGATTTTTTCAGGACTCATAACTTCGACACTGGCTTGAGCATCCATAGTTGAAGCCCGTTCTAGATCCTGGATAATGCTCGCTTCTATTTTGTTGTACAAATAATGAATATTCTATCAACTATAGGAAGCCACACACTGGATACAACAGGTTGTGAAATAAACACAATAGAGACAAAATCCACAAAATAAAATTCTTTTTATCGAGAAGAGGAGAACACGTACTACTATGACTAAAAAATAACTCCAACTTCCAAAAAAAAAAACCAGCACGAAAGATTACGGCAACACATCATAAAGCAGTATTAAAAAAATATAGAATCAACACGAATATGTACAAAATACGAAGTCCAATCCCAATCAATTGTATCTCCTAAACCTAGTATCCTAACATCTCGTCTTCCACAAAACTCTAATGACTAGGTTAAGAAAGCCTTAAAGAGTGCATTACCTACCCTATTCGAAAATAAAATCCATAAACTGCACAGTTGAAGACTAGAAAGAACGAAAAAATATGAGGTACTGCCTCATGGAAGTCCCAGAAACCTGTCCAAGGACAATCGCTCAGGCATCCACAATTTCATGGGTTCTAGCATGAAACGCTCACCTACGAAATATCTGTCAACTGAGAATTACATTACGCACATTATTAGCTTTCCTAAAACGACAAAAAAAAAACGTCTCCAGAAAAATACATCTCAAAGGTTATGCTGGAAAACAATTCACAGCATAGACAACACATACAATGCCTTACAATCAACAAGAAAAACAAAAAGCAAAGTTCCGTAGTGGCTTGTAAACCCTATGTCTTAACCGTGTGAGGAAGCCTTTGATAAAGAGTATAGTTGCTAAATGAAGTTTTCTTCATGGAAATATATGGAATGAAGAACGCACGGTAAAACCAGTGCGATTTCGATGATATCAAAAAAGGGTGAGCATACAGACGACGGAAGACGTTGCTCTAAAAATTGAGAAGAATAAAACACATTCTAGCAGTTGCAGAGAACAAACAAACTCCGGGAGAGCGTAATGGCGTGTTAGGTCCCGGAAAGTGTACCTGCAAGCTCGATTTCCACCGCAGACGCCTGCTGTCCGGAGTTTTGCAAATATCTCAGCATTATTGTAGTTAACCTCCTAACGGTTTACAGCCACATCGTGGTGAGAAGGAGCCCGGCGTTTCCAGCAGGAAGCCTAGCTGAGAGTAAACCAAACCAGGATCCACCACCGTCCTGGTATCAAAATCGCATGGTGGCAAATCTCCCTCTGATCCACAAGGGCTGCGACTACGTGTGGTGGTAAAGACCTAGGGCAGACTTTGGCCAGGCCGACCTCTGGATTCCAGGGAACCACAATTGCTTAACTAGCAAATCTCCGAAAAATGGAGATTATGCTGGGGCCCACACAACCAGTGTGGACGGGCCATTCAAGTGTCAAATGTCAAGTATTGTAGTTAAAAAACAAACCATAGCACCATAGTTTGGCTCGTGAGGATGAACACTGTCCGGAGTTTCCAAGTCCACCAAATAGTCACATGTATCCAGCGGAACGTATCTTAAAATCCGACTATAAGAGATGAAAAAACTGAACAGAGATAGAAATGGCACAACCATGAACAAGAGATATACTTCATACCTAGAAGGTTCTTCTCTATTCATATCGTTCATCTCAGTAGGAATACGCCGTGTTATGAACGGCAACTTTCCCCGTGGATAATATTTAGGTAGCAGGCCGGAAAATTCACTTTTCAAGAAATGAAGATTGATCTCTATAAAGACTCTGATTCAAGCAATCTAGCGTAAAGAGTTTTATAACTAATTACTATAAGTATGGATGAACATAACCGTAGTGATGGCGCGATATTTGCAAAACACCAGACCGCTGGTGTCTGCAGTGGAGACCGAACACGCTAATACCCTTTCCAAGGGTCAACGCGTTCACCACCACACCATGCGAGTCTTTCACCTCGTTTTTCTTTCAACCGCGTTACAGACCTATAGGAGCATGACCTAAGGATGAATATATAATGTTTTCATTTACCGCGTTTTCTAGAACGAGAATCCACAGCTATTTGCGGGAGGAAAAACGAAGACGGGAATCGATACCATTCCTTACCAACACATAGACGTAATGGATCCTAAACTCCAATGTTCAGGATTATTTGTGAATAAAAACGTATTAGAAAAATGATAACAACGAGGATGTGACTGAAAGTACGAACCCCACGTTTGGAAAAATCCAGTTCACGTTGGTGATCCATTAAGTGCTCATTCAAGCTTTTGTAAACCTAAATTGAGCTAGATATCTTTAGAGGAGCAGAAAAGTTAGTCAACACCAGTGTACCTCAATGTGTGCACTAAAATTCTTATGAAGAGCGAAAGTTCTTGACATTGAAGCAAGCATGAAAAACAACACTGCAAGCCAACTAACAAACGAAAGAGAAGGAATAAAGCGGCATACTAGTCTGAAGTAATGTACTTTGCAAAAATTATATTCGAAAAAGGACAGTCCAGTCTTTGTAGGCAAAAGAACCACACTGGAGATAAAACATACCGTTCGGCAGAATCCAAAGAAATAGCAGCCAGAAGAGCAATTAGTGGATAAATAGGAAAAAGGAAACGCTCCTCTTTATGAGGTCGGCTGAAGAAGATAATACACCATGCGGATAGAGAAGCAAACAGTAAGAAAACGGAGGAATAATGACGCCAGTAGGATGGATGTATAGCTAAATGACAATTCCACTCTCCATCTAAAGCTAGAAAAGTAGAAAAGTGTTCATAAAGTGGAGAATGTCACACTCACGCATCCTCCACTTCTTGTGTTCCTCTGAAATCTGCCAAGAGTAGAGATAATTAAATGCTGAAAGTGGAACTGCGAACGGAACCAAAACAGCGGCAATATTCCAGTTCAAAGCAAGGTTTTTCACATAATACATTAGAGGTTCAACTCCGTAAAGGTCTGGACCGTGTTCGGAAAAGACGTTATAGAGAACAATATTAAGCGGAGCCTAGAAGTAGCTTCGCCTTTAAACTCCACAAGACATTGTATTCTGTTGAAAATGCGAAAAAGATTAAAAATTCACTAGAACTTGCTTCCCATAATAGTATGTATCGACGGTTAAAATAGTTCCACCAACAAAAATACCAGAAATTGCCGCGAAATACCAGAACAGCTTCAGTCTAAATCGAAGGAGGAAGTGAGAAATCTTCGAATAAGTTCCAATCAAGTAAAAAAATAAAGGACAAAGCTCTCTGTGCTGATCAATCAGTGAGGGATGCGCCAGGTATTCGACATCATCGAGCATCGTTGGAGGTGATATCCATAACTGGTTTTAGAATTACTCTCGATGGCCTATTGATGTATCGAAACAAAAGTGCTATCCTCCCAGACAAGTCTGGTACCACTTTGCCGACATCTGAAGGATGGAAGGCTTGGCAGGCTACGGGCCGATCCCAGTACATATCGCAGGGCGCCTCCGACCACTGCGCTATACGCGCCCCTTCCAAGCAACTATATACGCATAAATTCATTCTCTAAAGTTTAAAATGAGAGCAGAAAGAAAAAAAAACTTACTTTGGTCGTAAAATCACCATGTCAACAACAATTGGCAAACCGAGGACAGCAGCGAAAGGCCAACCAACAATGGTAGAAACAGCAGTGCAGAAAATGGCATAAAACCTGAAAAAAATTTTCACGAAGTGCAAAACAGCTGTTAAAAAACTTGGTTTTTGGAAAACAGTTGGGAAAAAACTACACAAAGTGCCTACCACTTTTCGTTCAAGAACGCCGCCATTGCATACATATTCATGGTCATTGCAAATGATGATGGAAGAAATGCCGTGCTAGAAATAAACGAACAAAAGTAACCGTTCCTAGAAGGGAGCATCCGTTGTTTCACGGAGCTCATCTACAGTTAATCTACAACGATCTATTATTACACACCTTGATATGAACATACCCGTGGAAAGCATTGAAAATACGACAAAAAACCGACCAATGCTGATACTCAAGCTGCAAGAAGGATACGGATTAAGTATGTATAGTGAAAAAAGGGATCGATCGCAAAGTAATGGTGCACGTAAATGTTCCCTAAGTAAACCATTTTGTTCTTATGAACTGTCTTTGATGAGCTGACATGTTGCTTACACGAGGATTTCAATGTCCATCATTCCAGTAGGTTCGAATACAGCTCAGTTGTCGGAGGTGCCCTGCCACACATGGGATCGATCCCCGCGCCCATGGCCCACCAAGCCTTCCATCCCTCCGGGGTCGACAAATAGGTATCAAACTTGCCTGGGAGTATAGCAGTACTGGCTCGATACATCGGTAGGCAAGCGCGATTCATTGTAATGGTCAGATATGCATTCAATCACCTCCAACGTCGATGCTTAATGAAGTCGAATGAGTGACGCATCTTTCAGGGATTAATCAACGCCGAGAGCTTTATCCTTTATGTTCTATCATTCCAGCGGTTTTTCCTCCACTAGAGCTTGGAACAGAAAGTAGATCATGTTACCTTATTCAGTGGACATTCTAAAATCTTAATAGAAACTCAAGGTGCAAGTTCTAATCTATCGCAGAGTACTCGCCTTCTTTTTGCTGAAGGATTCTAAGAAAGTAGAGAAAATATGGAATACGTAAAGAAAAGCTTCCAAGCACCTCATCACGGACAGCTCTTAAGAGCAAAACTACTTGCATACTGACGATAAGATTAACGGAAAGGCAACTTGTTGTGAAAAACTTACTGCTTGCATACAGCTTTGTAAAGTGAAAATTCAGCTAAGAGAGTGAAAATACCAATACAACATCGTAGTGTAATGAATAACGCTATTTTTGAATAAGGCAACAGATGATATAGTAGATTTGCAGGAATATAATGGAGGTAGATATAGAAATATGACCTGAACTAAATACTTTGGAAAGAATGAATGAACTACCTAAATGCTCAGAATAACATAAAAATGACCTTATAGCGTAAACAGGAGAATATTCCCATGTCTGGAACCCTTTGCCGAACAGAAAGAGATGTAAAGGTTCCCAATAGTTATACACCTTAAGTCACATTTGAAAAAAAAACGTAATCAATAGAGCAACAGAATCTGTTATTGAGGGTACTGTACCTCATCACAATCACTGATGTTACTCCAGAGTGCTGCGGAAAGACGTAAAGAGAACAGCAACTAAAAATGAATACTGACGACTAATCATTACACAGCCAAGTAAAACAAGACCTAATAAACCAAAAATAGGAAATTAAAACCACCTTGAGCACTGCGTTATCGCTCGGCTCCCAATCGAAATCCATATCCTTCCGCAAAACAAACAGTTTCCCTCGAATTTCGTTGAAAGGTGAAGAATCGACTTTCATCGTGTCCTTTGGCCTGGAAATCACTTCGGCGACGCATAAACACTACAGAAAATGCTTATTAACCACTGAAAGATCACATGTCACACATTGACATCGAAGTCAATACTGTGTTTACTTGGATACCTGGATGCCCCCATTTCCAATGATTGGGCGGGCCCCAGTATAATTGGCACTTTTTTTGGAGTTTTGCTAGCTTAGCCACTGTGGTTCCCTGGAGTCCCAAAGTTGGCCAGACCAGTCTGCCCTAGGTCATCACCACCACAGGAAGTCGCCTTCCTTCTGGATCAGAGGGCGATTTGCCAACATGCGAGTAGTTCGATACCAAGACGATGGTGGATCTTGGCGTTGGTTTACCCTTAGCTAAGCTTCCTGATGGAAACACACGATTTCTTCTTAGCTTGGAGGAACCCGCTACAGGGATGCATGCCCCCCGCTGTACATCGCAACCTAACACCCATGAACACCTCCTAGTCACGATGAGGCGGCAAACCGTTAGAAGTAGTCAGTACTGTACGTGTAGCAAATTTGTTTCTACACGAAAGCTTTAAGAAGCAACAAATGGTGCACTGACATCTACTGGTAGCGGCCTTTCGCCGTGATTGTCTGCTCATTCCTACACTAAGAAATGCTCGCTATAGAAGAAATAAAACGAAAAATACTCACGACAAAGGAAGAGGTGTTGGTGGTGGAGCAACAAATGGCGCACTGACATCTACTGGTAGCGGCTTTTCGCCACGATTAGATGTTCGCCGGACCATAGACAGATTCTTACGCGGCATTTCTTTACTTTGTCACTGAAAACTTCACGAATACAGTATCCAAACTATTGTAGTAACACCAGATTTCGATCGATAATAGTAGCGAATCCACGTCGAAAGTACCACTACGACTGTCTTAATCAGATTTATAGAGTAACAAGTAGCATACAGTTCGAATATTAACTTATGAGCCAATAGCATGCTAAATGAAAGACAATAAATCTCTTGAAAAACCACTAAACATATGTCAAACTATTTCATTCAGAAGACTGTCGAAGAGAGTGTCCACGACGGCTTTTCTGAGATTTCTGTTTAGCTGTGTCATCTTCTCCTTCCTCGGATTTGACCAACTGGAATATTAACTACTAAACACTGTATGAAAATGTTTCAGCATTCAAGTCAATACATCATGATGAATAACCTAACAAACCTTTACATCGTATTGTTCACTTAGATCACCGAGTGGACCCGATAAATCACCAATATTATCAGCATCAACTGTTGCCTGATATAAACATAATCAGGAGTAAAAAGCTGATATCAGTAATGAAGATATATGAACCTTCGGAACAGCTTTTGCACTAAAGGACGAACCAACTTTAGGTGACGCCCTAGAAAGGATAACGCCATCTTTTAGGAACGCGATCAGATCCTTGAGCGCTTCATGAAACCTACTGTTCTGCAAAAAGCGAAAGGACACTTGTAGCATATAATGATAACGTACGACAGATTGCAACTTAAGAACGCGTGATCTTTTTTTCTATAGTAATATTTAGAAAGAAAACCCTCCCAACGGTTTACCGCCTCAACGTGGCTGCGAGATGTTCCTGAATGTCAAACTGCGGTGTGCAGCGGGGATTCATCTCCTGGCAGGGTCTTCCAAGCTGAGAAGGAGTCTGGTGTTCTCATCAGGAAGCTTAGATAAGAGTAAACCAATACCAAGATCCACCACCGTCATGGTATCAAAGTCGCGTGGTGCAAATCTCCCTGTGATCCACAAGAGCTGCGACTGCCTGTGCTGGTGAAGCAGACTTTGGCCAGGCTGACCTCGGGATTCCAGGGAACCACAATTGCTTAACCAGCAAATCTCCGAAAAATGGAGATTATGCTGGGTTCCGCACAATCAGTGAGGATAGGCCATTCAAGTATCAAGTATCAAGTAAGAAAGTAAACAAGAACGAGCAAATATCACTGGACTTCTAAAGCAACTAAACATTACTTATAGTACTATTTTATCACATTGTAATGTCGGCTTCTTCGCAATAAAGATCAAGATAACGCCTCGTGCTTCCTCGGCAAGGCGAAGAATTCTTTAATCAATGCCGAGGTTGTAGAAAGTTGCTCGTGGCAATACAATACTGAAAAGGTCAAGTTGACCGCAATCTACCCAGCCAGACTAGCTTGATCTCTCGATGCTCTCGGAAAGTCGAAATCCGCCGAAACATTAGCTTCTTCGCAATAAAGAGTAAAATAATACCTCATGATTACTCAACAAGAATGTAAAGAATACCATATTGCGTTATCAAATAATGTCATCAAATAGTAAAGAAAATACCTGTTTTACGAAATCCGTAACTATTTTCAAGTCTGTATCGGAGGTGCTAATAGCGAATCTCCAGTTAGGAAGCAATCTTTTTTGGAGTCTGACCAGATTGGCACAGTCACGAATTCTACAAAAACCTCTAATACAACTACATCAGTCATACTGCAGCACTTAACAAATGGTAAAAAAATAAAAAAAAGCTCTAAAAGGCTTTTTTAAATAAAAACTGTCGGCGTTGATGAACGCTTGAGGGATGCGCCGTGCATTTAACTTCACTTAGCATCGCCGGAAGTGATTGAATGCATTTCTGCCCTTTACAATAACTCGCGGTAGCCCATCGATGTATCGAGCCAGTGCTGCTACCCCCCCCCCCCCCCCCCCCAGAGAAGTCTGTTACTAATTTGTCGACCCCTAAGGGATGGAGGGCTTGCTGAGGTTGGAGCACGGGTATCGATCCGATGCGTGTTGCAGGGCGCCTTCGAGCACTGCGCCACACGCGCCCCTGTAGCATGGAAACGGTAACACAAACTCGATACTCCATATACACCACAGAACATCCGAAAAGAGTGTTAAAAATATATATATATATATCAGCACTTATACTTATTACCTTCCTTGACCACCAAAATAATTAAGGAGAGGTGGAATATTTCCATTCAGTGCTAGATAGAAAACCAATGTCGCAAAATGTCGTGTTGAATGTAGAACTTCAAAATCGTTATTGTCGACAGTACGATCACATACACATTGAACAAGCTATAAGATTTCAATGTTCTGGCGAAAGCAAAAGAAACAAGGAATTACAAAGCTAGTGGAATTGAGAAAATCACATTCACATATGCCGGGTCATCCGGTTCGTAAAACCAACAAGCCCAATCCAGAACGAACTCGTGCTCTTTTCGAGCAAGTGCATCCTATAAGTAGAACGTTTAAACAGATAATCAATGTAAACTATATTAAGTGGATAATTTTCCTACAACGATAGGACCAACCTGCAAATAGGGATCTTTGAAAACCGGCGGAGGAAACACTGGTCGATTTGGCTTTTCATAGTATACACGATTCATTCTGTCATGTTCTTCTGGAGTTGCTGTACGAAGAGTGCCATCAACCTCACGAACTACGACAGTTCTATCCTGGGTTCAAAATGTAGACTACCATCAGCTACAGCATTAAGAAATAAAGATATTTTCAGGAAAGCTTAACATATGTCAGTCCGAATAAATGATCATCTTAAGACCATAAATGACATAGACCACTACTTAAAGATAAGAGCATAGTGACCTGCTAACCTTTCTTAAAGGTGAGAACCGCAATATAATCGCACAGAAACGAAGAAAGAAATATGAAAAGTGGCGGTGACGAGCAAGTTATGAGGAGATGAGTTTAACATCTTCACAAAAACAAAAAAGAAAATCAAAAAAAAATTCGATAAGCTTACACGAAGTTGACAAGCAATCTTTATTTTCGACTAACGTCTCGACGTCTTCATCTCCATCAAACCCGATGATCCGAATCGATGGTCCATAGCTATCACTTGCTTTGATGAAGACGAAGGCATCGAAACGTTAGTCGAAGATAAAGATCATATATAAACCTCGTGTAAGCTTGGTATAATCTTCGTATAGACTCTAACTCATTGAGCCAAGTACCTGATCAGTAGCATCGAATGTGATATCTGTGAAAACGAATTTAGAGTTGTCAAATGCCTTGATATCATCATCTTTTGAGAGAATGGTGACCTAAAAAGCAATACAAGCTTAATGTAGCCAGCCATAAAATCGAAAATTTTTCACCACATGAAAATTCGATTACTCATGGAATAAGCATGCCTGTTAAAGACTCAGTCTAGCGTGTTGTAAGTTGATGCTTAATAAGAATGGTTATAAGATATTTTATCTATGTTTTATAAACTACGCCACTCTAATGGAGTGATGTTGTTCACTACGCAGAACAGTCAATTTATCCTGAAGCTGGCTCGACTCCAAACAAGCCTCACCCCTTGCTCTCTCTAGTCTCACTGAGCCTCCAATCCCTATGGGGTATCAGGCTCATCCGGAACCAGCTCACTTCCTTTAATCCACTTTAGAACGCCCAAGTACGGCTATTACATGATCCCACAGGCAATCGCATCGTAACAGCATTCAGCGAAAAGACGAAAACCATCAAGTAGAAGACGAATCCAAACGCGAAGAATTTGAAGATAATGGTGAGTAGCGGTTGCGGGAAGCAAATCGAATACAAACGGTTGGATCCGCTGGATGTGATGTCCGGTTATTTAAAACAATACTACGCTATCTTCACATTAAATGGAAAAAAAACAAAGTCAACCATTGATGTGAACATGAGCTCAACCTACAAATCTAAAGAACCATAAAGCTCTTGGCGTTGATCAATCCTTGAGGGATGCGCCATGCATTCGTCTTCACTAAGCATCGTTAGAGATGACTAAATGCATATCTCCCCTTTATAATGACTTGCAGTAGCCTACCGATGTATTGAGCCAGTGCTGCTGTACTCCCAGAAAAGTCTAGTACCAATTTGCCGACCCCGGAGTGATGGAAGGCTTGGTGAGCTTGGGGAGCGCGGATCGATCCCATGCGTACTGCAGCGTGTCTGTGACTATTGCGCTACACACGAAACCATAAATATGGAAACAAAAACATAAAAAATCACTTTCCGATTTATAACTGATGTTGATTAGAGCATACGGCTCTCCAAAACTAAATGTAGTTCTGAATATGTCAAATGTTGATATCAAACTTTGGCAAAGGAATTATAGGATGGGAAACTTTGATTTTTCTATTTTAAACGAAAGCAGTACCTCCTCTGACCGTGGTTCCTTCAGGGGTATGAAACTTAGGAAGCGCTGTGCTTCTCTTCGCATTTTATCCATAGTCTTAAAAATATAAAATGAAATCAACTGAATGAAAAAATAAAGAAAGAAAGAGAAAAAGTAAATAAATGAAAGAATGAAAAAACTGAGTATAAGGCATGAAAACACCAAATAGGCTAAAATATCAACCTCGCTGAGCCTTTCATCCGTCATCAGTGCAAAATGAGACCGCTGCTGCATCGTTGTCCTCCTTGCTCTGAATACCTAGAGAATAACCAGCCATAAACTGTATGGCAAATAACATATAAATGTAAAAAAATATGATGTATGCAACTTAGAACTTAGAAACATGAAATATGAGCAGAAAAACTTAAGTAAATACCTTCCCTTCAAGGTCCATACCAGTTAATTCTACAAGAAGTTGCTGGACTTCAGGATTAATGAACAGTTTTTCTGCATCAATCGAAGCCTCTGGACCAGACTCTGTCCTAGATCTAAAACTTTTACCATAGTTTGAGGATTTTGAATAGCTGCCGTAGAGTAGATATGACAGGCTGAACACACCGTGATGGATTCACCCACGCCGACGCAGAACGAAACTGCTCAACTTGCCGAACAGTCAACTGTGATATTCTGGGAGCTATTTTATACATCACTGATCTAAATAAAACCGTTTGAGTACAATTGCAACACGACAAACACAAAACGTTCACAAGCCAATATTTTTTGATTGCGATGAAAATCTGCTCCAAACGTGATCACAATCTGTCGTCGAGATGAGTTAAACACGGACAACCTCTCATAGTCGACGGCTGAATGGGACTTACTGGTTTACATGGATACATAGTTGATAGCAGTATAGTACGATTCGCATCAGATTGGTGTTTGGTTGGTTTGAATCTTTTCTTAACATAGTTATCAAAACGTCCCCGAGTTATGTAGTTGGCAAGTCGTCGGTATTATGTCGGAGAAAGATCTTACAACTTACGTGGATCCTTGGGTGGCCCGTCCTCACTGGTTGTGCGGGTCCTAGCATAATTTCCATTTTTTCATAGTTTTGCTGGATCAGCAGTTGTGGTTCCTTGAAGTCGAGGAGTCAGCCTAGTCAAAGTCTGCCCCAGCTCGTCACCACTACAAACATTCACCGCTCTTATGGATCAGAGGGAGATTTGCCACCATGCGACTAATCCGATACCAGAACGGTAGTGAATCTTGGTATTGGTTTACCCTTAGCTGAGCTTACTGCTGGAAACACTGGACTCCTTCTCTGCTTGGGAAATCCTGTTGGGGGACGAATCCCCTTCACTGTATATCATAGCCCGACACCCAGGAACACCTCCTAGCCACGGTGAGGCGATAAACCGTTGAGAGGGATTTTACAACTATGTTTGCTTTTTCCAGTCCGGTGGAATTGCCACAGACTTCTACTGTTATGAACTAACAATGAACAACGCGAACAGAGGATTTGATTGAATGGATGAATGGAATTTCTACATTGAATAAGTTTAGTACTAATTTGTGAGGTGGGGCAGTGGTCAAACGCGCCTTGCGATACACATGGGTTCGATCCCCGCACCCATAGCTCACCAAGCCCTCCGTCCTTCCGCGGTCGGCAAATTGGTACCGGACTTGTCTGGCAGGATGGCAGTACTGGTTCGATACATCGGTAGGCCACTTCGAGTCACTGTAAAGACCAGATATGCATTCAATCACCTCCAACGTTGCTTAATCAAGCCGAATGCATGGCGCATCCCTCAGGAATTGATCAACGCCGAGAGCTCTATCTTTCATCCTTTTTTAGTGGTTTGTTACACCGGCTATGTACCATTCCGTGAGAATGCCGCCCTTAACTTCAAAGCCTGTTGGTAAACCGCTTTGCCGACAACGCGAGGCGTTCGCGAAAAGAAATGTTGTGCAAGGTTACTAACTTGGGTACTACGACGGCTTGTCTTAACGAGATCTGCGGACCCCCCACATTTTCCATTCGATTCATTGCCTCGCAGTCGTGTCGTCCATTCTGAACGTTCGACTCGGGCAATGTGGCGGGAGCCAGTCTCATACCGTTATCTGTAGAACAACTGCAGCTGCGAGTGCAACTGACTAACATTGATTGCGAACACGTCCACCCAAAGTGTAGGTGGTCATTCTAGAAAGCGCTTGCAATCTGGGATCCAATCTATAGTTCTATCTCGGCAATCTGTCGTCTGTTCTTCTCCTTCTACAACCTGTCCATCTCCGTTTCGTTATCGATATTTGTTCCCTTTGTATCTCGAAGATGGGATAAATTTCGAAGACCAAAGCTACCCATACCGGGAAGTATTGTATGTGTCTGTCATATTTCAGAAGACATCGTTCAAGCGCTCTATGAATAGTGCGCAGGAATTTAGACGTGGTTAAAGTATCAGCTCACGTCTCTACAGTACAACAGAGCGCCGAGAGGTGTGTTGAATCGAAAGGCGAACGCGGATTTCGGGTCCTTCAGTTGGTCGGTGGCCTCTTTGGGATGCCCGAATGAAGGGTCATGCTGCTTTCGTTGTTCTATCTAGTTCTCCTTACATATTGTTTTCCATGTTCATTCATCAACACCCGAGGTATACGTACGAGGTGGTTTCTATAACCAGAGACCCACCCACATTGATCATCTGTTCGCCTACACAGCATAGGTTTTTTGTGGACTAAGTCTTCTTCCGATTTCTGAGTGGTCCGATCTATTCCCGCTTCGTTAACATCGTCTCTGCTTCGCTAGTATTTCTTGAAAAGATTACGATGTCGTCAGCGAAACGAAGTTTTGATAGGAATTTTCCATCAATGCTTTATGCTTTTCTCATCCCAATCGAGTAACTTCGTTATCCACTGCAGTGCGGCACTGAACAGCTTTGGCGACATTGTGTCGTCCTGTCGAACACTTTTCCTATGAGTATGGTAAGAGGTCGATGGAGTAGTTGCATATTCGTCGTGCAGTTCCTATAAAAGTCAAATGAGGTTTTCATTTAGGACGAACCCGTCGACAAAGGCTGATAGGATTGCATTCGTTTCGACACTGTCAAACGCTTTTTCATAGTCAACAAAGGTCTGTACTAGGGGTATGGTACTCCCAACCAACTTCTATGGTTGTGGACACGGTTTGGTTGCGGTCTGTACAGCAAAATCTTTGTCGAAATCCTGCTTGGTCAACCGGTTGCGCCTCATCCAACGTCCTTGATATGCGCGATAGTATAATTTTGTGATGAGCTTGTAGTGCACACTCAACAGGCATATCGGGCAATAGCTACAGTGATCCCTTCGGATACCTTTCTTGGGTAGGATGACCGTACGCGACGTCCTCCACTGGTCTGGGTTTTTTTTCTTTTGATGATAGAATGTTATATAGCTTGCCAGAAGTGCATGTGAATTTTGGTTTCACCTAAAGATGTCAGCAGTGATATTATCGGATCCTGGAGCTGGTCCTTTTTTCGTGCTTTCGTTCCTAACGCGAACCTTGGGGTGAAGAATTTCAAGTGGTTTTTGTCCAGCGGAGAGTTTGGTGTTTGAAGCGGACAATGTGAGAAGGAAAAGGTTGGTGTAGAACTTCCTCGTTAGTGCCGTATAATGTCAGGAGGTTCTAGTTATTTTCTCCACATTCGTCAAGGCTGAGAGCGGAACGTTGTAATCACACAAGTCCAGGCGTCGTTTTTCTGAACTGATTCTTCTTTGTGCTGCTTCTAACAGTTTCCTTTTGCCTGCAACGAATCACAATTTAGCTGCAAAGCTTTACTGCAACTGACGTTTATTCCTAGCTGCGTTGAGCGTGTTGCAGTAAGATCAAACTTCGATTTCCTTCTCTGTTCAAGCAGCTCTTTGCTACTGAAAGAGATACGGTCTGATCTTCTTACTTGAGGAACTGAGACTAGGTAACTACCCATTTAGTCTGTTAGGATACAAGATTAGTTCGCTAATCGACATACCTTATCAACAGGAACTGGAGTACAATATACAGGCTTGTAGAGCACGTTAGTATTGACGAATCCGCCGTGCCGTTCAGAGGTAGAGTCGTCTTCGGCCTTTATAGGATCTTCCTACACCGCCTTTCCTTTGACAGAGGTCTTACTCAGCAGGAGAAAGACCCATCTCGTTGGCAGCTGCAGGAAGAACGGGGTAGGACTTCCCAAACAAGCCATGCTAAATAGTGAACAGTTGGTGGCGCATCAGAACCGGAGCAGTATAACGGCATTGAAATAGAAATATTAGAAGGTCATCATTATATTGTCCACAGTTCATGATGTGTATCTTTCCTCCAACTTGTAAAAACCGGAGGTGATTGAAAACTGCAGTCAAAGGAAAGTTTTCCTGGACACAAGTGATCAGATGGTGCCCTAGTGCCCATTTGTCAGAAGGACCAACAAAGGATACGTACATTTTTATCTCTTTATCGTTTAAACACATTTTTTACACCCATACTTTGAATACGTAGTTTGGATAGCTCTTCTTCCAAGTGATCACCCGAACGTACCTGGTGAACGCATGCAAGACATATAGTGAGTGCGAGCGAAAAATCAAGCCCAATGACTTCAAAATAGAGATCCACCTACATTACTGGTTGAAAGAAAGGCAAAGCAATGACTTCGATTATATAGCGGGTAAAACGCAAGCTCCCGGGAAAGTAATCCTGGGTTAGAATCTGGTCTGGGATTCAAGTTTTTCAAATATCTTAGTTTCACTGTGGTTGCACTTGTGCTACATTAGAAACAAGACTGCTTCGACACCCTAGACTTCGCATCTCTCTGAATAGACGATGTGTGGGTTGTTACCAGGCAACTATGTATCAGCGCGGTGGAAAACATACTGGTCTACGTGCTAGAGAGGTTAGAAACAAATGCAGCTTTCATAAGTTACGTTAATGCTTGGAATGCTTCAGTAGACGTATTACAATGTGTGTATAATTGGCACGACCTTCAATGTGAAGATTCTTTGTTTCAGGCAGTAATATTAACGATTCTGTGAAGATTGTAACACTTTTCGTGTACACATGAATGATCTCAGGATAACCTCATTTGATCTGGATTCTAGACAATTTCAAGATATCTTTGTCATCATTGTTACCATTGTTAGTTAATATTGTTAAGTTGTATGGTTTAGAATATGCATATTTTGTACAAGGGCACGTATGGCGCAGTGGTCGGAGGCACGCTGCAACTCAGACATGGAATTGATCCCGGCGCCTACGGCCCACCAAGCTTTCCATCCATCCGGGCTTGGCAAATGGGTACCAGACTTGTCTGAGAGGATAGCAGCACTGGCTCAATACAACGGTAGGCCACGGTTAGTCATTGTAAAGGCCCGATATGCATTCATTCACCTCCAAACGATGCTTAATGAAGTCGAATTCATGGCGCATCCCTAAGGGATTGATCAACGCAGAGAGCTCTATCCTTTATCCTTTATATCTTGTACATGTGCATTGTAAGTTGTAAATTATATGTTGTAAAAATGTAATTTATAAATGTGATATTTAGATATTTAGATACTTGGTAGATATCTAGAAACACAAACTTTGTTGAATTCCGTTGATAAGCCCATGCTGAATGAGGACGGCACCACTTTGAGAAAACCATCTCAATAGGTCTTATCATAACCTTATCCTAGCGCAAAGCTCTCCGTAAGTATCGAATACTCC